AATCGGTATAAGCCTAAACACTTGTAAAAAAAAAAATAAAAAAGTAGTCAAGACAGAGTGGCAGATTAATTATATATATATATATATATAATAAAATAAGAGTGTGTTTGAATTTTATCTCAGTCATATTTTCTTCCTCAAAATCATCATCAATCATTTACCTCACTCATCATCCTTTTGTCAGACTCAAACGTCAAATCACACTACTCATTTCTACCACATATTTAATTATTTTTATCCTCTCTAAAAATATCACACTACTCATTTTTATCATATATTTAATCATTTAATATTTAATTAATTTGTAGTTAATATATTTTGAAAAAATTTAATATAGTAGAATCAATTTTTTGGACGCTCAAATTTTATATTTTATAGGCACGAATTATGACCGGTATATATATATATTTCTTTGTTTTTCAGTCTTCCCGTGTGTCCAGATGTGAGCTTTGCATCAAAACTAACATAAGTATTCCTAAAAGAATTGAATATGTTGAATTAAACCCACAACTTATTTCTTATAATTTTACTAATTATATTTGGACTTCATAATTTTTAATCTTTTAAATATTCAAAGTTAAGTAGACTACAAATAATTGAGTAAACAAACAAACAAACAAACAAACAATACAAAAAAGCAGGAAAAAAATTGCTGAATAAAACAATGATAGTATAATTTTAAACCATATTGCTACTTTTTTTATCGAATTGTTGATATATATAACTTTTAATTTTTTAAGATAAAAATTGAGATAAAAAAATCTTTCGAGCTATAATATATCAACACCTCATATCTCTAGGGTGAACTTAAACATGAGTGTTGGCCTGCCCGGGCCAAGTCGTATGTAGAAAAGTGACCCATCTATCGGGTCGATCCTAATAATGACTTGCGGGACTTTTTGTCGTATGTGTAACTTGATCAAAATTGATAAAATTTGAATTAAAAAGAGTCAAGATGGTAGAGATAATGTTTCCTTTAACTCGTCAATCACCGGGGATAGGAACAAACACATTAGGAAAAACAGATATGGATATAAGATACGGATACGATAAAATTTTAAAAAATAGAATATAGGTATGATCAAGATATATCTATAAAAACGTATATATTATATTTGTATTATTATGTAATGACTTGATAACTATAATTTTTAGTAATTATTTAATAACAATAAATAACATTAATATTTTTTTAAAAAAAGGGTACCTATTGTCTTACTATAATACATCTACAAAGTGAACATAATTAATTAAAAGAATAAGAAGTAACATTTTACTAAATTGTTTGTTACTAAGATTATAGTGTAATCAACTCATATGTATTCTTTGGATTTAGATATGTGATAGTGAATAATTCTCGAATATCGTATGCAATATAGATATGTTGACCTTAACGAAGTATTCATATTTTTCATAGGCGAGAGATGACTACTTTTGCAACTCAATGAACAGGCTTGGTTGTGGATCTAGGCATGTTGAAAAATTACAAATTTGGTAAAAACAAAATTGTTCTATTGTCTTCAATAATTCTTCTCCCTCACAGAATTATAAGCTCCTTAGCTCTCTCCCTCTCTCTCCCCCTCTCTCTCTCTCTGCATAATTTGTGGTTTTTCTCTAACACACACAAGTCTTGCTAANGTATCGTATTCAATATAGATATGTTGACCTTAACGAAGTATTCATATTTTTCATAGGCGAGAGATGACTACTTTTGCAACTCAATGAACAGGGTTGGTTGAGGATCTAGGCATGTTGAAAAATTACAAATTTGGTAAAAACAAAAATTGTTCTATTGTCTTCAATAATTCTTCTCCCTCACAGAATTATAAGCTCCTTAGCTCTCTCCCTCTCTCTCTCTCTCTCTCTCTCTCTGCATAATTTGTGGTTTTTCTCTAACACACACAAGTCTTGCTAAGTTGTCTTCCAACTTGCCAAATTTCTAATGCCTAGCAATATCCAAAACTATAGCATTTAATGAGAGCAGGAAGGGGGCGCCGTGGGGCATATAGCCCCCGAATGCCTCCGAACCGGGCAGTCCTCCAAGAAGACAGTTGCCTCCTTGCCTGTGTGTTTGGAGTCCTTCTTCATGATCATTACCTGTTCTAAATNCCGTGGGGCATATAGCCCCCGAATGCCTCCGAACCGGGCAGTCCTCCAAGAAGACAGTTGCCTCCTTGCCTGTGTGTTTGGACTCCTCCTTCATGATCATTACCTGTTCTAAACAAAATAATCAAGATTTTCTAAATCACATAAAGCTCCGCAGTAATTCTACCTGGAAGTNGTCCTTCTTCATGATCATTACCTGTTCTAAATAAAATAATCAAGATTTTCTAAATCACATAAAGCTCCGCAGTAATTCTACCTGGAAGTCAGAACATCTCATCTTTGAAACATGTGAAGAAGACACAGTTTAACGAAGCAAAAACCATGAATATCTCCAATTCTCTTTACAACAANGTCAGAACATCTCATCTTTGAAACATGTGAAGAAGACACAGTTTAACGAAGCAAAAACCATGAATATCTCCAATTCTCTTTACAACAATTCCGGAATTTGCAAAACAACTGTTTTTGTTCACACTCAATGCATCAAAAAAAGGCAACACTTTAAAATTCAAACAAAATATCATAGCGGGCTTCCGGCAAGGATAGTGAATGAAAATGTCTGTCTGTACTTTTCCAGCAATAGTCAACCAGCATATCCACATATTCCGAATTCTTGACTGTTCCGATTAATACTAGAACGACAATTTGTCCTCCGTATGCATTGCTCTTTCCAATTCGTTTAGCTCATTTACCAGATAATAAAGTGTCATCCCTCGAGGCTTCCAATTCTTGTTTTACCACATTAGTCCCTACATCCTCGAAGATATATCAAAAAACATTATTGGTTACCATGCATGTCAAAATATAAGTAACCTTATCAGAATCAATTGAGTAGGCTATAATAGCAATAAAAGGGGCAATCTATCAAAAATGCTTAGTCTAGACTAATAATGTTTAGGACCTCTGCTCACTGACACTCACATTGACACAGTCAATATGAATCAAAGTGAGAAAAAAGAAGAATTAACGATTAACGAAAATTGAGATCTTACTTTCTGGAAAAAAATTGTGCAACTTAAATTCTGATAAAAAAACATGATGAAACTTTAAGACTAGGCTGCATGACAGGCCTCTCGAGCCAGAGGATACTACCGAAGAAACCTGATGAAAACAAAGTATGACAACAAGCATAGAGGTCAGTATTACCATCCATGGTAGATGTAGAGAGGAGGCGAATAAATTTCTGGATTGGGAGATGATGTATATTTGAATATTAATTGTGCTGAGGGTCTTTTGAATGAGAGCAGCTTTCTCATAAACCATATATCACATTCCTCTGGATGCTTATAGTCTACAAGCATCTTCTCAAGTATTGGTGAACATGCAAGAAGAAGTTTGATAAATTCCAAATCCGATCTCCAGCATTGGATTTCTTCTTCCTCTGGGCCACAGACTGAGATGTTTATTTTCACAATTTGCAGCTGGTTGAAGCAGTAGGATAATTGGTTTTGCGTAGTCATTAACTTATAAACATCTTGCTGAAATGGTCCAGAAGCCTAAACAAACCAGTAAAAAAAGGTGAAATATTGAAAGAAAACAAATGTATGAGAAAACAGTGCAGAAACTTACTGAAAGGCTCAATGACTTCAAATTTGAGGAGCTTCTAAGAAGGGAGAGAAAAACCGAGATCTCATCCAATTCATCAAAATGGACTTCTGACAGTTCAAGAACCTTCAGATTGTCACATCCAACAGGAAAACCCTGTGCCGAAAAATAGGATCAAATGCATAAAAAGGAGCACAAAAGTAGGACGGTTTGGAACTAAAGGTGGCTACAGTACTATTTCATTGTCAAAAAAACAGAAGAATAGATTATGAATCAACAAATATTTGGTATTGCAAGGGATTTTTTTAAATTGTCAAGCTTCTCTCCTTGTGTGTTATCAGAAAACTAATTCTACTATATCTTGGGAGTCAAAAATAAGCAAATAGTTTTGGAAATCAAACAAAAAACACTAATGAAAGTCGATTTCACTTACCCTGAGAAGATGACCACACAAACTCAGCCTCTCCAAATGAGATACAAAACCAAGAAACGGCGCTGTATCATGAGCCATGTTCCAGTTTGCAGCCATCTTTAAGGAGAGTTCTGTAAGACGAAGGCTATGTTCCAGATGGATGCTCATGAATTTGCCTTCAATATGCAAGTATTTAAGATTTGGTGCACAGATATTAAGATAACCCAAGTCACCAACATCTGAAAGGCCAATGTCATCAAGATCTAAAAGTACTAATGCCTCAAGAATTGGGCAGCTACTAATCAAATTTTCAAGCACTGCACTGAGGACTCTACATCTTTGCAGCTGGAGGCTAACAAGATTGCTAAAGCCATTGAATGTGTGGGGCGTTATGACTGAGCAATCAGTGATGTACAAGCAACTCAGTTGTTGACAAGAAAATAAACTAGAAGGCAGCTCATACTCGTACATGTAATTAAAATCAAGAATGAGTTCCTTGATACCATTTCTGCTTAGAAAAGCAATCCAATAATCCACATCATTGCCATGACCAGCACACAGAGTGGAAAGCATAAACTTATCAATCTGGCCACGATGAGCTAACAAAACATTATATACAACTTTAGCAAGCTGATTCCATTCCTTATCCATATCCATGGAAGTAGTCGCCCCACAGCTATCATCCACTACAAGCTTGGAAAGATCAATCCATTTATATCTCCATTTTCTGGACAAGACACTTGTCCTCACGGCATCTTTAATTGGCAGGTGCCCTAGGATATTGTCTAATATATCCCAGGGCAGGTCACTAAGTCTATCCAACACTGTAGGGCAGTCCATTGTAGGTTCAGCAAAATCTCAATCCTACAGATGCTAGGGCAATAATCAACAACTACTCCATATATCTTCAACCACTAATTCAACTGGATTATATCTCTCACATGTCAGCTCCAGAATATGGCAAGCGCGCAACAGGGAAATCAAAGTCAGATCCTAGGATAACATCAGAAAAAAGCATTCAGAACAAGAAGGAAATGAAGACACCCAAAATTTTATAAAATAAGATTTCTATCTATATTATGGTGGACTGCATACTAGATATCCCGAACTTCATTGGAATCACTAAATAAATAACAAGTAAAACACGATGAACTGAAATGCATCAGGCTTACTTTGAAGTGATTCCCCCATAAGTAGGACCACTACCCAATAGCATGTTGCCACCAGATGCAGAATCTCGTATTTCTGTCCTAATTGTTCTAGAGCAACTAGAAATAGATTCTTTAACCAAAAAGAATTTGGTTCAGATGTAGCATACCTGTCCGTAAGTTTTCTCAACTCAATCATAGTTGAGGGAACATGGAGCCAAGCTTGAGAATAGAAAAAAAAATAGTTTTATTTCTTTATTACTTTTCTTATTAAAGCATCATCTAATCATGTATCATTGCATACTCATTTGAAAACCCAGGATTTGATATGAGCTACCTAAAATTTATAAACCAAACCAAGCCTTATTTCCCAATCACTACCTAAAATTTATACTTTCTTAATTTAAAATCACCCATATTTATCAGAAAATTAAACAAAGTATTGATATAAGCCATCAAAAATTTCTCTTTGCTTGATTGAAAGTGATCCTCTTACAAGAATTCTTTCATGATAGAACAAAAAAAATTGTGTACAGCAATGATAAACAGTGACAAGTTAGGATTTCATTATGGGTCTTAAAAGTATCAAAAAAACCCAAAAAAAAAAAACTCCAGCCGTACTGAACCCAATAATATACACAGAGATATCAAACAATAAGAGATGATGATGTAAATGATACCCTGCTCACCTGTGATGAAGGCTGGGAATAAGTTCGATTTGTCTTTACAATCAAAGTAATGAACCCCCGAGGAGTCTGAGATGGGGCAATGATCACAAAGAGACGACCGAGAAAAAAGAAAAAGTGGCCAAAACTCAACTAAAATTGTTTCAACTTCTGTTCGGTAGGGAAAATTACACTTTGACTCGTCAACTATAACCCTTTTACCATGTCGGCTCACAATTATTATGTTTTTCATTTTGTATCACTAACTATGTGTTTAATTTCACATCGTACCAATTATTAACGTTTGTTACAAATTTGACAAAAAGTTCTTTTATTTTACCACTCAAAGTATGTAATGGTTTTCAATTTGCCTTGACATTTTCGTCAAAAAAGACAATAGACATTTGTATTTGAAGCAACTTAAACTAATTAAAATAAAATTAAAAAAAACTAATTAAAATAATTTAAGAGATAATTTTAAAATTTAAAAACTCAAGAGCTAAATTAAAATTAAATTTATAATTAAGAGGGTGGAAGTGTAATTTAATCCAATTATTATATATGCTAAACTTGACTAGCAATCCAAACTATTGGGAAATTTTAGCCAGGCTCTTTCTAATTTACAATATTTTTAAGGACACTCTCTTTATTTTTTAAATTTTTATTGATACTCTCTATCATAATAAAGATGATAACTAAAATTTAATTTTACTAAATTATTCACGATATATTTTAGAAAAAATTTTATCAACACCCCCTTGAGAGTGGCATCTTGTCATTAAGACCATATCTATTTTTTAAATTTTTTTACATATTAAAACTCAAGTCAATTAAAATTTGATTTGAGGTAATTAAAATTCATTTTTTATGTATTAAAGTTTGAGTCGATCAAAAATTATGTTTTTTTACGTATTAATTGAGCCAATTAAAAGTCAATTCGAACCGATTAAATGGAATCAAATTTTAATCAACTCGTATTAAATTTTAATTTGCCAGAAATTTAACATATAGAAAAAATAAATTTTAATTAACTAAAATTAAATTTTAATTGACACAAATTTTAATAAGTAAAAAAATATAAATTTTAATCCACTCGAAATGAATTTTAATCGACGCTAACAGTTCAGTAGTTGAGTTAAGATAGGCTTGAACTTTAATACGTAAAAAAATTAAAATTTACTCTGCTTGAATTGAATTTTAATTAACTCAAATTTTAATATGTAAAAAAAATAAATTTTAATCGGCTCAAATTTTATATAGAAAGATTATTTGGAGTTTATGTAAAGATAATTTTGGTATTTTTGTTAAATTTTTTTTTATTAGAAACGGTGGTTTAGTGATAGAAGATGTCTGTGATCTTTAAACATAAAGTAGACGGGAGTGTCAGTGATATTTTAAATAATAAAAGAAGTATCTTTAAAAATATAGTAAAGTAGAAGAGATGCGCCTAAATTTTTTTTCTAAAATCTATATTTATATCTGTACTACTATAAAAAAAAAACTTTAATTGACCATAATAGCATCAATAAAACAAATAATGTCCATACTAACTTATCCTGAGAAGATGACCACACAAACTCAGCCTCTCCAAATGAGATACAAAACCAAGAAATGACACCGAATCATGAGCCATGTTCCAGTTTTTGGCCATCTTTAAGGAGAGTTCTGTAAGATGAAGGCTATGTTCCAGATGGACGCTCATGAATTTGCCATCAACATGCAAGGATTTAAGATTTGGTGCATAGATATTAAGATAGCCAAAGTCACCAACATCTGAAAGGCCAAAGTCGTCAACATCTGAAAGTACTAATGTCTCAAGAATAGGGCAGCTACTAATCAAATTTTCAAGCACTCCATTGAGGACTGTACAGCTTTGCATCTGGAGACTAACAAGATTGCCAAAGCCATTGAATGTGTGTGGCGTTACAACTGAGCAATGAGTGATGTACAAGCAACTCAGTAGTTGACAAGAAAATAAACTAGAAGGCAGCTTATACTCGTACATGGAACCCATATCAAGAATGAGTTTCTTGATACCATTTCTACATAGAAAAGCAATCCAATAATCCAAATCCTTATCTACATTCATGGAAGTAGTCACCTCACAACTATCATCAACTACAAGCTTGGAAAGATCAACCTATTTATATCTCCATTTTCTGGACAAGACGCTTGTCCTCATGGCATCTTTAATTGGTAGGTGCCTAGGATATTGTCTAATATATCCCAGGGCAGGTCACTAAGTCTATCCAACATTCTGAGGTTGTCCATTGTGGGTTCAGCAAAATCTCAATCCTAACTTTCTCTTCAAGCCACCACTTCAACTGGATGATATCTCTCACCTGTCAGCTCCAGAATATGACAAGAAAATATCGCGCAACAGGGAAAACAAAGTCAGATCCTTGGATAACATCGGAAAAAACATGCAGAACAAGAAGGAAATGAAGACACCCAAAATTTTATAAAATAAGATTTCTATCTACATTATGGTGGACTGCATACTACATATGCCGAACTTCATTGGAATCACTAAACCATAGCCGTTAGTGTTGGAGTATAGATAGTCTAGATTTATTAGGATTTCTTTTCCCTTTTTTACCTTTACTAAGATTTTTATATTTTGCCTAAACTACAAGGATGTTTAAGTCACTCTGTATTATTTTTGGATATATATACGGGGCTCTATCCTTAATTTGAGTATCCCTTTTTCACACACATTCATTCCAAGTTGGTATCAGAGCCACAACTGTAACCCTAACCCTAGCCCCTCCTCCACGTTGCAGCTGACAGCCACCGGCCACCACACTGCCACCGTGACTGCTCCAAATTAGCCACTGCAGCGACCCACCTACCAGCGAAAAACCCCTTTAGCCTACATATTAAACCACCGACTGCCTCCAACACATCACCATCCTCACCGACTGCCTCCATATCACCAACCACCGATTGACTGCCTCAATAACCACCCAGCAAAGAACAATAACCCAGCCCAGCCACGCAAAACTCAAACCAATAGCACACCCAAGCCACAGCCACGCAACCCACTGCTCAGCCACAGCCCAAAACAGCAACCCAGGAAGCCAGCAACCCACCAATAAACCCAACTCGTCAAGAATCGATCGTAGCCAGATAATCTCACATGTGCCAAGTGCCAATGCCCGATACTCTGCCTCTGCGGACGAGCGGGAGACAACTG